GCCGACCACCACGCTGGCGTTTTCCCGCAGGGCCAGCTGCTGCATGCCGGCCTCCAAGAGATACTGCTCGCCTTGGGTGCAAACAAGCACCAGTTGCCGGGCTCCTTCGAGCAGCAATTTGTACTCACCGCCGGCCATCGCCTCGTCCGCCGCAGAGCTAAGGCAGGAGCCGGACAGCGGCCGCAGGGGCGGAGAGCGCGGAGCAAAATTTGCTTGGTCCGGGTGGACGTCTCAGGAAGGGCCGGATTTATTTGCTGGCGTTCAGCACGAAGAGGCGCAACCCAGCTTAATACGTAGCACTTCGTCGCCCTGGCTTTACTCACGACCCTGTGTTATCAGTCAGTTTGCTTGAGTCCTTGCGATGTCGGGGGGGGGAGGGGGGCTGCCCTTTGGAATAGCCTTCCCCTGCATCCTCTACCCTGCCTTGCCACCCTCTGATTAAGGGTGGTGGTGAAACTTTTGGGTTCAGATAACGAGGGAGGATGGATTTTACTTGGGATATAAACATTGTCTTGGTTCTTTTTTTTAATTTTGTGAATCATTTAGAACAGTGGTGGCGAACCTATGGCATGAGTGCCAGAGGCGGCACTCAGAGCCCTCTCTGTGGGCACGCATGCCGTCGCCCCAGTCCTAGGCCTTCAGCTGGGTTTTATAAAACCTTTTCGCTTTAGGCCTCCGCCGCTGTGTGCAAAAAAAAAGGTTCAATCAATCACTCAATTTCAACTTCTCGCGGGAAAAAAAGATCTTGCAAAGTTGGAATTGATTGATTGAACTTTTTAGTCCCACCCAGTCTGCTGTTACCACCATAGCCACGCCCACCCAATGGGCCACACCCACCCAATTGGACACACCCACGTAATGGGCCACACCCACCCGGCACCCGACGATGCATAAGTGGGTTTTGGGTTGCAGTTTGGGCACTCAGTCTCTAAAAGGATCGCCATCACTGATTTAGAAGCTGGGCTGCCTGAAAACTTGATAAATAGACGCAAAGCAAGCCACAATCGGCTTAGTGCCACTGTGCACTGTGATTTAGGGGCCATAATGGACTGAATCTGCACAGTGGGATTTGGAATTGTTTAGAAATAAGGGGAAAAGCCATGAGAAATGGTTGACACAAGAAATAAATGTCCAACCATATAAACCAGCCAACCCACTCAGGCACAGAGGTAAAATAAGTTTTCTAGATACAAAAGATGCCTTCTCGACCAAGGAGAAAACCAGTGAATCCCAATCTATTGAGAAGTTTTGAAATGGCAAATGGTACCTCTTTGGTGCCACCTGGGACAATTTTTGGAAAAGAAACAATAAAGAAATGAACACACAGACACACTTTTTCATTTTGATGTATGCCAATTGGTGTACGTTCAAAGTGACAATAAAGTTGTTGTTGTTTTCCCACGTCAGAATGAACAGAAAGAGAATATAGGGGGCTGTGGTAAATCTGAAGTGTTAGCCTGGATGGCAAGCCACAGCTGGTTAAGACCTCTGTGGCATCTGCTAGAGGACCAAAGTTGTAATTTCTCTCTTGTGATGGATTTTACTTGTGGGAGTTTATTTTAAGTGCTTGCTTATAATTCCAAAATATTGGAGGGTAAACTCTTAGTACAAAGCTTTAAAAGTTTATTTAGTAAAGCGTAGCATAAATTTCACACCACAAAGCTTGCCCTTTAATCAGTGTGGTAGAATTGTCCCAGTCTTTATTGTTTTCTCAAAGCAATACCCATTATTTCCAAATCGATTTCCTAATCGATTTTACTTCAATTGTCAACTTCTCCCTTGTTTTCTAGAAGGCACGCTCAAAACTACGGTGTGTACTTGGCATTATTAGCTCAACCTTATGCATCAGTGGAAGCAATTGCCATAGAGTTCAATTGAACTGAGGTACTCCCTGGTCCCTCTTTAGGCTCCGACGAAGCGAATTTACTACTGGGGTGGCGTGTATTCGATGAGAACAAACACTTGATGAAGGGTAGCACTTTTAAACCCAAAGCCCGAGTTTTGTGGAATCTCAAGAACAGTCACGTTTACTCTTCTGTTCGGAGCACAAATCTGTCAGAGCAACCGAAAGAAAAGGAACTAGTTGCATCTATAATACACTATAGCCCTCGGCTAAGTTTATCTATCACAGTGTTTCTCAACCTTGACAATTTTAAGGCATGTGGACTTCAACTCCCAGAATTCCACAGCCAGCATTGCTGGCTGTGGAATTCTGGGAGTTGAAGTCCACATGTCTTAAAATTGTCAAGGTTGAGAAACACTGATCTATCATATTCCGACAGGAAGGCAGGAATCTCAAACTCTACGGTTAATCATAAAGGCATATTCAAATATCAGTTACAGGAAAAAAAATCTCTTCCTGGCAACGTCCTTGCACTTAAGAAATTGAAGGACTTGTTTATACACGAGCCACGAGCTCTTTCCTATTCAGACGCGGTAAGAATTGGGGACGAAGCCGCCAAAATAGGCAGGCTGAACTGCGGAGTTCCGCCCTGTTTCGTGGGTAGAGTCAAGATCGGGCGGAAACTGCCGACATTTATTGATCCGCTCCCGCGACCGCAGTCCAGACCACAGGAACCGATTAAAAGGCTCGCGGCCCAAGTAGAAAGGCGGGGATGGGGAGGGGGGGGAAGAGAGGGGGAGATCCTGCGCCCTCCCATTCTGTGGCCGAAGCCAGGCGGAGGTCCCTCGGGCGAAGAATCCCCCACCTGCCCGTGCACCAAAGGGCTTTGCTGCCGGCGGGTACCCGAGAACGGCCGCAATCCCAGCCAGAGTTCCGTGGGAATGCTCGCCTCGTGCCCAGCAGCCGGGCTCAACGGTTTCCCAGCGGGAAGTCCAGCCTGGCCGGGACGAGAGCACAAGGGCCTCCGCTGCGCCGGAGCGTGTATAGTTCGCCCGGGGCTGCTGGTTGCCATCGCCCGAGGAAGCTCTGCTGGTTAAGGTGAGCGGGGGTGGAGGGGTCCCTCCGGGCTCTTTTGAGCTCTGCAGGTGCCGGAAGATCGAGCAGCTGCAGACGTCGCCTCACCCTCTCCGCTGGGCCCATCTGCCTTTTCGGGGTTAGGAAGGCAGAGGTTAACTTGTCTGGCCGACATAGTTGCTCCCTCCTACGGCAGTATAAAAACTTCACCCAGAAGTGTTGGAACCGACTAGGTCAAATCAATCTTGGATAAAGACATTCCGTGTATGCAGGATTTCTGGATGAAACTAATGTAGTAAAATGAACAATTATTAGAATAATGATTTGTCTGCATAACTAGAATAATGATTTGTCTGCATAATTGCTAGAATAATGATGTAATGCATAATCACTGGGAAAATTCACTGGGAAAGTTCTGTGTCAGTAATATGTGGCTAACCAAATGTGCATTGCACATGGATACTTTGTATGTAGCAAAACCTTCCATTGTATGCCCGTGGGAAACGATCCAAATGTATTACAGTGTATCATCATGTGTAGTCCCTTTGTTCCTGAAAGAAGGGTAGTATAAAACTGAAGTCTAATCCCGCCCTCCTTGTTCAGAATTGCCTATCTCCATTATGCTTCTGAACCTGCGCAAATAAACCTCTCTGCTAAACCCCTCTGGAATTCGTTTTCCACAAGAATTCTTTCGTTTTCCACAAGAAAACCATGTTTAGTCATTTTAGTAAATCCTTCCACTTTGCTAAGCCACTAAACATTATTGAATAAATTTAAACTACAGATAGTCTTCAGTAAATGGTGTTAAGTAATTAGGACTGGGAACTCTGTTGCTTAGCAAGACAGTCATAAAGCACAATATCACATGACCGCAATGATGTATGAGTTCCAGTTCTGATGGATTAGGCAAATCCCGTGTGGTTTTTAGGTATGATGTCATGTTATCAAAATTTGCAACTTCCTATGGTTTCCCCTCTGTTTGTTGGAAGCAGGCAGTGAATGTTGCAAATGGCAATGGCATGACACAATATACTGAAGCCATTGTGAGTGCAAGCTAGTTGCCTAATCACAAATTGTGTGTCCACGTGGATGCTGCAAATCACAATTGTGTGTCCACGTGGATGCTGCAATGGCTGCAACTTTGAGCACGTCTCTTTGTTCAATACCATTCTGATTTTGGTTGGTCACTGACTACCTCTAAAACTAGACTCATAGTAAAGATGTTTTTTTTTCCCCTTCCATTAAATTGTATTCAATTCTCAGAGACTTTCTAAATTAGTCTCTGCAGTTTTCTGGTAAGATTTTTCAGAAGTAGTGTGCCATTGCCTACCCCTGGCCTAGGGATAAGAGAAAGTGACTGGCCCAAGATCACCCACTTGGCTTCATGCCTAAGGTGGGACTAGAACTAGCACTCTCCTAGATTCTAGCCTGATGCCTTAATCACTACACCAAACTGGCTCTGCAAGAAAATTGCAGGGACTTGTCCAGGCAGCCTTGGAACACTGATGATAATTTAAAAGAATACGTTCACTAAAATCATAGTAATACCTCTTCTAAAGGTCAGTCACAGTTGTAGACAAAATGTATTCTAAAATTGTAGCTTTGGAGCTAATATATTTCATAATTTAGGAGCAACCAATGCTAGCTTCCAAATTCTGGTTGATAAGAACAAGATTCCAAAGCACAGATGAACATTAGTTTTGACATCTATTCAAGCTTGAAGTTGTTCCCTACAATAAGACAGGTGGAGCCACATACTTTTATATTTTTTTGTCAAAACTCCACTGATACCACCATACACTTTAGCTCGATATACACTATTGACAAGTCACCAATAAGCATTCAAACATCAGAAAAAAGGAAAACAAAAATTAATTTTTGATGCAACAATTCTTGTTGTAAAGTATAACTGTGTGACACACTTGCACGCACATGTAGGACCATTTAATTTTCAGGATACCAAATGTATCATTACAGATTATTCAATTATTGACTTGCAAATTGAATAAAATGTGATTTCAGTGCTTCTTGTTATTGTGTTTCTCTGATTTGCTAGATATAAGAAGAATTCTATGGTGTGAAAATGGCATCAACAAGTGTTACACGTAGTCCTTTTGTGGAACTAGATGGTAATAACATTTTAAAATTATGTAATCTTAATAATTATAAGATAAAATTCTAATTAGGGAAGCTACTTAATTCTAGAAAATGCATATCAGTATGAAGGAATCTGGGAAGAGTGATGCATTGTTGGTAGATTAGAATAGAATAAAGCTGGAAGGGACCATGGAAGTCTTTTCGTCTAGAGCTTTTCAAGCTTTTCACAGATTGTACCATTTTTAGGACATGACAATATTTGAGTACCACCAGTGCTTAGCAAAGTGTCAAAAACTTGATGACTAAAAAAAGGGGGGGGATTTTGGGTTTTACTGATTAGATTTATTTGTTGTTATAGAAATGGCTAGTTTATAATATTATGGAAAAGCAAAAAGTTGAGGTTCAATGTTAATGCTTCCTTCTACTGCAACAGAGGAAGTCTGTTCTTTTTCCCTTCTCCCCCCCACTTTCCCCCCCTTTTTCCTCCCCACTGTGTCCTATTATTTGCTTTTGTATTTTATTATATAATCTAATAAAATATTACAAACTGTGGAAAAAAAGGAAAAAAGTACCAGTTTTAATTTCTTCTGTGGCTGTTCCTTTGCACTGACAAATCACTTTCCCTTTGCACTGACAAATTTATGATGAATTTATCCATGTTTATTAATATACACCACTACCAGCTAGTTCAGGGGTCTTCAAACTTGGCACTTTTAAGACTTGTGGACTTCAACTCCCAGAATTCCTCAGCCATCATGGATGGTTGAAGAATTCTGGGAGTTGAAGTCCACAGGTCTTGAAGTTGCTAAGTTTGTAGACCCCTGAGCTAGCTGGTTGGCCCTTCTTCCTCTCTCTCTTCTGACCTCTTTCCACAGTGTAGTAAGAATGCACCCCTCCCCCAATCCCTTCCGTGTACCATTAAAGACACAGGAATTAAGTGCAAAGCAAGAAAGGCTCCCAAAATAAAGAAACACAAAAACTCCGGGTTTTTTTCCTTTAAGCTGCCTCAGGTGTGCCACGTGTCAAAATGTTGCAATCTGAGACCGAAAGGGTCCAGCAATTGCGAAAAGCTTTAGCCTTCAATTAAGCCTGTTTACCTTCAAATAAAACTTTCTAAAAGCCATAGATAGACTCAAGATAAAGGGGTAAAACTAATTACATTTGTTTAAAGGGATTAAACCTACAGAAGTCAACACTTTGGACTCATTGCTAGCCTAAAATACAGACTAAAATATTCCAATAACCAGAGCACACAAACCAAGCCTCTGAATTACAAAACGATGTAAAAACTGTACAAAAATCCTTATGGTAACCCAATCAAGCTGCCAGCTGATCCAGAACTAAATAAACCCACCTCCTTTCCGACATGCCGGCTTTTCATTTCATCAGCGCTGATTGCATTCTACTGTCTGGAGAAAATGAACCAGGGGACCTTTTCTTCCAGCAACAGCTGCTGCTTCTTCTCTGTCCCTGTTTCCTCCCTGCCTGCTACCTCTCCTTCTCTTTCCCTGCTGTCTTTTTTTCCATTTTCCACCCAAACCACCTCCTTTTATAGCCTCTCCTCTCCTCCCTCTCCCTTTTTTCTTCAGTTCACCTCCAGCTCCCAGCTGCTTCCAGAAGCAACAATCAGCAGGAGCCCTGCCGGCTCCTGGGGCTTCTATCGAGCCCAGACAGTCCTGCAGCTGCAGCTGCCTCTCCCTCAGGCTTGGGTCGCTTCAGCTCATTCCCCTCACCCACTACACTTGACCAGCAGTCGCGTAACACCTGCCATGTGGCAAAGTACCACAGGTGGTACGTGTACCACCGGTTGAAAAGCCCCGTTCTAGTTCAGCCCCCTGCTCAAGCAGGAGAACCTATACTATCTCAAACAGGTGAATGTTCAGTCTCTTCTTAAAAATCTCCAGTGATGGAGCGCCCATGATTTCTGGGGGTAAGCTGTTCCACTGGTTGATTGTTCTCATTGTCAGGAAGTTTCTCCTTAGTTTCAGGTTGCTTCTCTCTTTGATCAGTTTCCAACCATTGTTTCTCATCCTTCCCTCTGTTGCTTTGGTGAACAACCTGGCCCCCTCTGCCTTGTGGCAGCCCCTCAGATACTGAAACACTGTTATCATGTCTCTCCTATTTCTTCTTTTCTTTAGACTAGCCAAACCCAAGTCCCGTAGCTGTTCTTCCTATGTTTTGGTCTCCAGGCCTTTGATCATCTTAGTTGCTCTTCTCTGAATGTTTTCAAACTCTCAACATCTTTTTTGTGATAAGGAGACCAAAACTGACTGCAGTATTCCAGGTATGGTCTTACTAGGGTTTTATAAAGCGGTAATTTGTACTTCGCGTGATCTTGATTCTATGCCTCTGTTTATACAACCCAGGATCATATTAGCTTTTTTTGGGTTGCTGCTGCATGCTGCCAGATCATAGTCAAGTGATCGTCCACTAGGACTCCAAGGTCCCTCTCATAGTTACTGTTTTTAAGCCAGGTCTCACCCAATCTGTATTTGTACCTTTGGTTTTTCCTGCCTAAATGTAAGACTTTGCTTTTCTCCACATTGAAACTCATTTTGTTGTATAGGGCCCATTGTTCAAATTGTCAAGATCTTTTTGGATCCTGAGTTTGTCTTCTGGGGTGTGGGCTACTCCTGTCAGTTTGGTGTCATCTGCAAATTTGATGAGTTCCCCCTCAATTCTCTCATCTAAGTCATTTATGAAGATATTAAAGAGTACTGGGCCTAAAATGGAACCTTGTGGTACCCCACTGCTTACTTCTCTCCATGTGGATGTAGTGCCATTGAGGACTACTCGTTGAGTACGGTTTGTTAGCCAGCTACAGATCCATCTGGTGGTGATGTTGTCTATTCCTCCTTTTCCTAGCTTACCAAGGAGTAGGTTGTGATCTACCTTGTCAAAGCTAAGTATACTACGTCCACTGCGTTTTGCTGGTCTAGTCACTTTATTGGTTTGGTGTGAATTGGTTTAGTGTGATCTGTTTTTAACAAATACCTGCTGGTTACTAGTTATGACTAGTTGTTTGCAGATCTGGTTTTTGATTGTAGGTAGGTTCTTTGTATATATTTATAGAGACTAAAATAAACCCTAATGAAATAATTAAATATATGGGAGAAAAGAATTCAATTGGTAGGTTAAGAAGCTGTAAAGTGTACGGATCTCTCATAGGTGCATCTATGGCAAAGGAATCTGTGGTTCTTTAAACCTGATGCTTCAATGTGGTCTTGGAGATCTAGTATGCTTTATAACCTTAAGGATCCATGCCCACCTGAAAAATAATGCCTATTATTTTGTTACTGGACATTTGTTCCTGGGAACCATTTTGTGAACCAGCAAATCCCCCATGTCTGTAGCAACTTTAGCACCTACCAAAACTGTTCAAATACGCCTGTTGGCCAAAACGATCAAATACATAATGGAGGGTGGAAAAGGAGGCAGGAGTTTTCCAGAAAAGCACTAAATTTCTTCTCTAAATTATGTTTATTGCTTTTAAGTAAATATTTTCTATTTATTGCTAACACAGGTAGTCCTTGACTTATGACCAGTCATTTAACAACAATCTGAAGTTACAACAAACCTCCCCAGGGCTAATTATGATCTGGATTCAAAATTACAATGTCCAGGGACACCCCTAGCCCCCACAGTCATGTGATTGCATTTTGGGAGCTTGACAACTGGCCCATGCAACCTCCTGCAATCACTTGACCACAATTTATTGCTTTTTTTTTTTTTGCCAGAAATTGACATTAACTTCCAATTTCGGTAAAAGATGCCCTTTGCATAGTAGATTCATTTAATGACTGTGGCTTTATATCCACCACATTCACTTAACAACTGCCTCAAAATTGTGAAACATTCGGTTGTGGTTGCATGGTGACCCCCTTAATGATCAGCATGAATATAATTCAAGGATTATCTGTATATATAGTGGCATACCTATATTTCTCTACAGAGATTTTTATTGCTTCTTAATTGTCCAGCTTGTTCTCTGATTCCACAAGTATTCCATATCGTCACTTTGATATACTCTTAGACAGAATCAGTACTAGAGAAGAGAAAGAGGGGAAAATAACTTTTTTTAACTTCTTGGAAATCCAGCCCTTTTGTCCAACAGTCTTCACTGATACCTGATCCGGCCTTTCCAAACATAGTAGTCTTTGCCACCCACAGTCCACTCTTCGGTTCTCCCTTCCAGGCCCTTCTGGCCTTCAGTTGCAGATCCCTCCTCCAACAATTTCTTGACTGACCCAGAATATCCAATCCACATAGCACAAATACACCTTGAGCGATGTCCAGCATCCACCAACAAAATACTCCACAGCTTAAGAAATCTATTCCTTTCTATATTTTCACTAAAAGATCTCTCAATTAAGAAAAAAACTTCTCAGTGTTTGCATAACCCTATGTATTGTGCTGGCAAACAAGAACAAAACACCCTCTAATATTGAGACCATTTTATAACTCCACTCATCTCACTCTGCCACAGGATCTCTGCTGGAGATGTTGCTAAACTTTCTTAGCTAGTATGGTCAGTGATGAGAGATGCCTGGAATGATTGTTCAATATCTGGGGGTCCAATGATTCCTCATTCCCTTTCTTAAGGAAATTGTAGTTCTTTAAGTAACATAACTTTATTATACTTAAAACAGGTGCAAATGCATAAAGTTTATTTTATGATAACACTATTTCACAGGATTCTAAAATATCTATGCTCCAGAATAAGAGGAACTATCTTGGGCTGGGTTGCTGAAGAATTCCCTGAAGTTTTATTATTAAAGGCAATGGTGGGAGCAAAGGTGATCCCCAGGTTTTCCACTTACAGCTCTGAACTAAAAAATCTCTGCTTCATCCTTTATACCCTGAATGCCAAGTAACATAACTTGTCCCCTCCCTTGAAATGACCTATAACATAGTTAACAGTTATTTAATTTCTACTCAATAATATGAAGTTCATACTTCTGTTAGTGAAGAGAACATGGGGGGTATCTGAGGAAGTGCACTGTTATATTATGACATATGTTTTTGTGGACTGCAGAATAATTTATATTATAATTATGTTGAAATAAATATTATCTGTTGGTGTTTAAGATGCTGAAAAAAGACCCTCTGCTGTTTTTGCTGTAAGACTAACATGTTTGGCCATTTGGAAATAACTTGTTTGATGTGTCCTTGAGATGCCATATTTACCTGTTGCACATTCTAAGCTTGTAATACAAAAGTGTTGTTACCTGATCTTAGTGCTGTACTAAAATATTTTTCTTCAATGTTTTCTGTCAGAAGAATACAGGCAAAAAAATCCTTTTGAAAAGATGAACACTGAAATCTACCTTTACAGAGATATTGAATGCACAGAGAAAGAAATTGTAAGTATTCTACTGGTCAGCTACTGCCTTCTTGGCCTCTTTGGATTAGTTTCACAGATCCATTGAATCATAGCTTGTTTTACCCAGAAAAAAAGGTAAGGGCAGTCTCATAGGCAAACCAAAGTCGTCATGGCTTCTTACTAGTAAGGAATAATACTAATGATGGTTATAATTGCAGTTATGATATTTGGAGATAGCTATCAGAAAGATGAATTGCTAAGCATATTACACTAAATCTACACTTTATAACAAGTTATGTTATTCTAATGGTTTCCTTATGTTAGATCAGCAGTCAAAAGTGTGCTTAAAATCCACAGCTGACTGAGTATACTTTCCATTAGAAGGAAAAGCACTGATTTAAGTGGATCAAGCTGATCCAAACATTCCCCACACACACACACCGCTGGTCTCACCACTTTCAGTTCAAATACAAATTCTTGCTGTTTATTAGGCTGAAAAGATAGTAGTTAACCAGATCATTTTTCCTGAGCTTTTTTAAAAATAGATAATTATGATCAAATCTTTGGGTTTAGTGTACAAAGCAATATCTCAATATAACTGCCCCAGCATCAGAAAGAACTTTTTTTTCTGTTCAGAAGATATTAAATGCTATCCTGAATACTATTTAGGACTTTAGGTGCTTCATCAATTTGTATACTTCTGAAATCTTAACTTCACCACTAGACTAAGAAAAAATGGCTTTTTTGCACCTATAGCCATCACAAATGGTCTCCTAGATAAATATTGTAATTGGTTATTGCAATTAAGTGGGAAGGCTGAGCATTAAGTTCCCACTGTTTGTTTTTGGGATAGCTATTAATTGTTTCTGGCCAACTTTCCTCCTTCTCCTCCTCTTCCTCCTCATTTATAATACATTTTTTTGAAAATTTATCTTCCTATAGACTCATAAATGACAGTGCTTTTTCGCAACCCTGCTCAAATCAATGTTTTGACTTTTGTTGGTTAGCATATTACTGATTAAAGTTATTATCTGCCAGCAGAATCAAATCAAATTTTCAGGGCACACAAAGGTTTTTCTGTGTGGGTGATTGGTAACAATTTGGGAGTGAGATAATAGAGAATAAAGTTTGGCATCTCAGTCAAGAATATTATTTCTTTATGGGGCTTTATACCACCTCATCTTTAACCATGTTATAGGCAGAATATCTATCGATCAAAAATAATTTACACAGTGAAAAATCAACCATTTAAAATAAGACAGTAATAACAGTAATACAAATAATCATAAATACAAACCAGAACTTTCTGTATGTCTTAAAGATTTATTTCGGATAATCAAAAGAGAAAAGAAAGTTTCTTTCTTTGGAGTCAAATAAAAAAAAAGTAGCATATATTGTGGCTAATAGAGCTCCTTAAATCAAGTGTCTTGGCTCCTCCTCCTCCTCCATTTCTTCTTGTCTTGCTCCTTCTCTGCTTTCTTCTTCAGTGAATTATTGGTAACTAAATATGGAGATTCAACTGTAGTTTGAGAACATGAAGAAAACACATTAAATGAATCCCAGGCCAATTCTCTGGGCTACCATATAGTTTCTCATTTAATTGGAATTCCAATAATTTACTTTCAAATTTCATAGAACTACAATATACATTCAAAATATAAAGGACAACCTGCAGAATCAATAACACTTGCCTAAATTGATTTTCTTTAAAAACTCCTTTTCCTGATATACCATTCTCCATCCCCATGCATGTAGAGTTGGGGATGACAAAATATGTGGACTTTTTAAAAAAGATTGGTAGAGCTTTAAGAATATTTGGATATGCTTTTATTATATTTAAACCTTGTGTTTAATGTTAAGCCACCTTGGAAATTAAAATCAAATCTTTACTATAGTCATAGACAGACCAGCATAAGCCTTTAGAAGATTGTGAATTTGGAAGGCAGTTAGGAAATGCATTATACATTTTCAAAAACTAGACAATAAACATGGATTTCAATTTTAGATTAGAAAAACTAAACAGAATCTGAAGGCATATGAAAGGAGCACCATTTCATCAAGAGCCCGGTGTCGAAAGGCTTTGAGAAAACTAGAAGAAGTCACTGAACAAGAAACAACAGAAACAATGGGAAAAGATGTTCCTGCTCTGAATTGGGCTCTTGCTTTTGCAAAGTGTGAGTAAACATTTTAGAGAAATAATAGACTGCAGGAGCATGAGGGATTTTGTGATTTTGCGGTCTTGGTTGAGTTGATGTTTTTCTAGATGTGTGAGTACTTGAAGTAACCCATTATTGTGGAATACATTTACATAGTCATCCTCAAAATGGGCATTTTACGAAGTAGTTTACTTGAACTATTCTGTAAAACTCCTGTTGGTTCACTAACTAAATAAATTCTTAGTTTTGGCTTTATTTCTAGCATAGTTTCCTTATCCTTTGGTTTGACATTATACAACTTCATTTTATTATGTGGAGAAAGAATTAATATTTCAATTTTTAAAATATCAATTTATTTGTGTTAAGTCATTGATAACACATGGCTTTGTTTCAAAATATAGGCTGCAGAATATCAGGGGAAAAATCACAAAATTGTATTTATTTTTTTAAAGGTTGTCAAAGTGACAAACAGTCTATAGCAGATTACATCAGTGAAGAGAAGGAGCTATTTCTATTGGAGGTAACAGCTTTCATAAACTTTATAAAAATAGTAATATGTGTATATATGTTTCTGCAGGCATCCTTGAAAACCTTCAAGACTCGGCTGTTCTCCTAGGTCTTGGGTTAGGTTGGTTAGAACACCTATTGAATTGTGTATGGTTGTAGTTATTTGGATCTTTTACTTTTTTATAATTCTTGCATTCTGTTTTTATGTTGTTGGCTTTATTGTACACTATCAGACTAGGTTGGAGTTGGGTAGTGTCTAAATTGAATAAGTTAAATTAAATATCTATCAGTATAGCATTTCTCATATTGATAGCCCTTTACTTAGGACCATAATTGAACTCAGAATTATGATCATAAGTGATCCTTAAGTGATCAGGTCCGATTTTACAACCTTTTTGGGGTGGTCGTTAAGCAGATGCTCTAGTTGTTAACCAACAGAGCAGTCGTTAAACAAATCTGTTTTATCCAATGAGAGGGCTTTTTGCTGGAAATCAAAATGGCCCCAAACTGGCAAAAAATATCAAAAATCACAATCATGAAACCACAGGACACTGCAAACAGCCGTAAATGCAACCTGGTTTCCAAGCACCCAAAATACAATCACATGACTGTGGGGGGTATGTGGCTGTCAGAACTCTGGAACTGGGTCATAAGTTCCTTTTTGGAAGTTCACTGTAATTTCGACTGGTCATTAAAGGACCGGTTGTTAAGCAAAGACTCCCTGTATGAAAATTTTCAAATCTATATTATTTTATTAAAATATTTTAAGCTGACTTGAACATATAGCAGCCCCCAACAGAGCATAGCTCATTGGCCCCTGACCTTTGCAGAGCCTTCCCTTCCCATCTTACCCTGCTACCTTTCAGTCACTGACAATGTCCTTGGCTGTTTCCTATTGTCTCTCTGCCCACTATAATTATCTTCCAATATTCATAGGCAGACCAAACAAACAGAGCATGTTTCAGTTATAGCACAAACTACCTGAAACCAGCTTTATCATGCACAGACTTATATGTGCAATTTTACACGCCTCTTGTGCTATGGCATAATCATTAAGCTGAGGGAGAAGTGGGAAACAACTGATGAGGAAAAGTGGACTTTGCTAGAATATCAAAAAGAAAATATGGTGAAAAGATCCAGTTTGGGGAGCTGAAATAGGAAAATAATCATGGGGCTGTTTAAGAACAGCTACAGTAGTTTGAAAACAAGCTATGTAGCTGCAGCTGATACAAAGAGAATAGGAGAAAGAATCCTGACACTTGTAGGAAGATTTCATTGAATGGGATGAACTAATGATTCCCCTTTACCAGTTTCAGAATCAAGAAACGGATATGATGGACTGCCAGTTAATAATGCAATTTCAAGATTTTATAGACTTTTTTTTTAAAAAAAAATAGAATATATGTAGTTATATGCTAGCTCACATTTCTGAATCTATCATGTAGCGGTAAATGGTATTCATAATTTTCATAATGTGACACATGTGAGAAATGATTGCAGGGAAGTAATTTGGGGAAAGTGATCAATGGCTTGACAGGAATATATAGGCTTGTCTCTCCCACACATACACATGAAATCCAAGTGACTATTTTAAAAGCATATAGGATTTAGGTATACAATATCTGAGTCTTAAAAAACATCAAGTTCTCTTCAAAGGGCTCCATGCCAGATAAGTGCATGGGAATGATTTGGGATGACAAGTTACTGTACATTAAAAAAATTTATACATAACATTTTGCTATGGTTTTCTTTCTCCAGTACTCTGTTAAAATAAAACAGCGCACCATGGCAAAGCTGGAGAAGATGGCAGCAAGGGAAGAGAGGAGGGCCAGAATGGCTGAAGCAAAATTAGAAGAAGATACCTTGGCATTTGAGGAGTTTCTCAGAGCAAATGATAAGAGCTCTGTAGAGGCCCTTAAATTGTTAGTTACAATTATGTTTTTTTACTCTACAGCTGATTGTAGTGGCCACATTTGGAGTGTGACTTCAAAGGTTCATTGTCTGGTTCCCTCTCCTTTTCTCCCAAGTAAAAAGCCCTCAGAGAATCATTGCAGGAAATGGACACTCTCCCTTCTACCTAAATGCTTTCCTTTTCTCTGTGCTAGATGTGTTTCTTAGGTTGTAGAAGGTTTTTTTAGGTAAATTGGTCATCCTTGGCTTTTGAATGGTGTCATGGGGGTCACATTCTAAAATATTAATGCCCCAGAAAAAGCAGTGTGTTAGACCAGTCACAAGTTTGATTTAATTTAGCTTATATTATAGTAAATATAAATATTATTAAATAATGTCTCTGTGATTACCCTCCAGGACATTAATAAAGTCCCCATGTCACATTATTAACATTGTAATTCAGCAGTTTTTGCAGGAGTTTAAGGAGCCAAACATAAGACATTCAGGAACTGTATATTCCTATTACAGAATATGAATAAGCATAAGCATTCACCTCTAGATTCATTCCTGCCCAGCCTGCCAAGATATCTCAGACCTATCTTTACCACAACCATCATATCTGCAATGGTAACTCTGGGATTTATGATGCCCCCACATCAATCATTGCTACTATTAGTTACAATGCAGAACTGCAGTAGGCTTGCACACTCATATACCCTCTGAGTCATCCCAAAAGAGACTCTACTGCCCTAGCATCACGATTAGGCCAATTTTGTTCAAGTCCTTGCTTGAATAAGAAGTTAATGAATTTAGTGGAACTGCAGAGTAGTGTAATGGCACAGGAATAATAATAATAATAATAATAATAATAATAATAATAATAATAATAATAATAATAATAATAATAATAATAATAATAATAATAATAATATCATCTTCCATTAGGTAACTACTGTAATTTATGCTATTAGATTTCGGATATAATACTTCATAATCACTCATTGCCAACAGCTAAAGGGGCAACAGCTAATAGAAACTAACAATAAATTAATTCAGTTTTAGAAACAATTCTATTACAAGTAAAAAAACTGTTTCTGTAGATGAGATTTCACTGTCTACCTTATCACACACAAAAGGAATGGGGAAAGAGTTTCCAAAGATTCCCAAAGAATTTCTTATTGTAAGAAGAAGCTGATATTAGGACTCAGCTACCTTACAATTTCCTTTAGTCAAAAGAGTTTACATCGAGGCAGGTTTTTTTTATTGTGTTTTTCATTTTCAGTATTTTCACATAATAACAGTAATTGCTGAATGTCACATTGGAATTTTTTTAGTTTTCATATTGATGAAAAATAAATTTGATTGCTTATTTTTTTATTTTTTTAAGTTTTCTTTAAAATTATCCTTGAATTATTTTCTTATTAAGTTTCTGGACTACCAATAGTTTATACAACTATCATCTCTTATTACTAAATTGAAGAGACAAAGGTACCACTTCTTTCTTGGTTTAAGAGGTATAAATTGCATCTGAATAACTATTTCAATATATGGAAGAGGGGTACTTTCAAGTGTTGACTCCTGGCAATTGCCGGAGTCCCTGCAATTTTCTTGCCAAGATTTTGGAAGTGGTTTGTTATTGCCTGCATCCCAAGGCTGAGAGAGACAACTGGCCCAAGTCACCTAGTTGACTTCATACATAGGATGATACTAGAACTTACAGTCTCCTAGTTTCTAGCCTGGTGCCTTAACCACTACATCACATTGGCTCTCTATTTAAATATGAACAACTTGTATTAAAATAACATGCAGACTTTTTTTAGGGCAACTCAAGAAGCAAAATACAAAATGGAAGTAACAACAGAACTGAGGATAGCAATGAATGAACTGTTCTCCCTTAAAAGGTGAACTCTTTCTTGTTGCTTTATGAGAGAAATTTATGGGAAGGATTCTTGATGATGTGATTCTTAGTATATTTTCCCACAATGCAGCATCTTCTTGCTCCATGAACTTGCATTTCAAGTACAAGGGTCTTTATACATCTGGCATACAGAAAGGCACCAAATGATCCAGCTCAACATCTTTAAAATAATGTAGTAATCATAATGTACATTATTTATACCATGGACAACTGAGAAGTGACAGCTGAGATTCAGAAAACTGAATCTTTAGAACTATGAAATAAATAGAAAATTGACTAAATGTTCTTATTAAGCCCAAGTTAATGGTTCCTATTCTTTTTATAAAGCATATTCAACTGTTCTTTTTTAAATTTCTGAACAACTTCACAGCTGTTTGTGATAAAGGACAGAAAGTTTCTTGATGAAATAATCTTCCCCAAATTAAAGTAATTTTGAAAAACCTTGTTGACCAGACCTAGCACTGTAGCTCCAGGGCTAATAAGAATGATTATAAAGCCATGTACTGTAATTCAGGGAAAATGCTTTACTCAGCTTTTTCAAATATTTTTAAATGTCTGTTAGGCATTGTACATCTGTAACGTCTGAGGACTTGCTTCTTGTATCCCTTGTTTTCTTTTGACATGTACAGTGAAATTGCAAACACTGAAGACCTTTTGAAGATGTATTTATCCTATGAAGCCTTTTTGTTTAGTATTTCTCCCAAAGCTTGGCAAGAGCAGCAGATGGCAAAGAGGAAGAAAGACCGGAAAAAAAGCCCATCAAAATCCCTTATTTCTTTCTCACCAGCTGCAGATAAAGCCAAACTAATCTCAGCCTCCATTGTATTACAAAATAAAATAAGTAAGTACATGGTTTTCAGTGGTCCATGGACCATTTAAATTGCAGTGTGGGGGAATACTGCTTTGCTGTAATCATTCTATCAACCACACCAACTAGGAATCTTGAGTGATGCAAGGCTAACATATCTGGAACAAAGTAAATTGAAAAAGTACAATATATAAAGTTATAAAATATATAAATAAATTTATATATTTTATAACTTTATAAAATATATAAATTTATTTATATATAAATTTAGCATACTTTCTCTATGATACTTTTAATAAACAAGCAATAAATAATAGCCTGATCAAGAAACTACCAAGGAGAAAACAAAACCTCCATCAACTGACAGGATAAGCTCCTCCTCCCTTCTGGCATTGAAGATGTTACTTAACTGAGTAATAAAACATCCATGTGAAAACAACCATGCTCAGAGAGCACCTGGGGTCCACAATAGGTGAAGTAATTTAAAAAAAACTGAAGGAAGAAAAGTATTGTCTTCTTCACAAAAGGAAAAATTAAAGATTCGGGGAATTATTGCATTAGTCAGTGTGGCATCACTTCCTGAGCAGGTTCCAGAGGAGGAAATCATAAAATGAAAACACTATATGAAATAAAAATTTGTCAAGACCAAGTCTTAGCAGATTAAATTTATAGTAAAGTTTAGGTTAGATTATATGACAATTAAATGTGTACAGTGTGACTCAAAAATTGTATTCAAAGAGCATTCATGAAAAATGCTCAACATTTTTCAACAACAGAGTTATAATTCTAGTGGATGCCATTGCCATTTCTAGTAAAGTTGTGTATTATTGAATGTTAAAAAACACCCTTAAATTACTCTTTTACTATATTGGTTTCCTCATGATTGCTTTTGGGGAAATTTTTTTTAAAGAAATTTTATCTAGGTATGCCAAGATATTATACCATAAACTTGGAGAGAACAATGTCCTAAAAGAAAAACTTAGATGATATAAATACATTTTGTCATATCCCGAGTTATTGAAGATCCAAAAAAGAAATCAGTTCATGCAGGAAGGAACATTATGAAGTATATATTTTATATTTTAGGTCCTAATGATATTTATATAGTGAAATGACTATAGTGAAATATTTATATAGTGAAATTGTCAATCCTGCTTCTAGAATAATTGCCCTCTCTTTGGCTCTGACCCTTCTGTCCTTCTGGAAAGCATTTAAAACTATTTTTTTAAACAGACTCTGAGCCAGGGTGATGTGTAATCTTGTTTAAATATTTAGAATATTTGTGCATTTCTCCAGGTTGCTGATTTTAGTCTATTTGGTTCAGTGTTTTAAAAAGAAGTTTTAACCAACTGTATGACCTGGAATAATGTTTGATTAGATAACTTTATAATTTGAATAAATAATTAGTAGTGGCATTACATCAAGATTAAAGAGAAATCTAAGAGCATAATTGTTCTGTTGATGTACAGCCGAAATAATGTATGAGCATTCTCTTTTGCTGCATCCTTAAACTTAGTGTGAGTGATTTTCCTAGGCTTCCTGCATTATAGTTCATTCTCCAGTCGCATACTTTGGCTATTTACTTTGTTTTACAACACTTTACGGTGGTTGCAGATTGTTCCCACTTCCTGTCAATGGTAGCCTTGTTTGGCTTTAGCAAGGATTAATAGAGCTACTGACTTGTTCATTTTTATATTTCTTTTTATAAATATGTGGCTCTTGTGTTATTTGGCTACTACTTTTAGGCAAAATAGCACATCATAAAGGGCCACAACCAGCCAAAAAAGTGATAGTAGACAAATCAGCATCAGTCATCTTAACCAATCCTGAGGAAAAGGCACAAGTTTCAAATAACCAAGGTAAGGAATAAGGAAGACCTTTGAAAGAAAAGAGCCTGGGCTTTGGGGTGAGATGTTATGGCTGATTAGACAGTTCTGCAGGTGGAGACAACACAGTGGTTCAATTGCCAACCAAGAGTTGGTTCTGGTGACAGAAAATTTCTCTGGAAGCAGGAGAAATCAGGAGATTACCCACTTGTGCTCTGGAAAAAAACAAACAAAAACAAAAACAAAACATGCAGCAATTTAGTTTCTTGTGGTCAATTATGAGTCGACTAATTTGGGAGGTAAGGGATTTACAATTTGCCCTGAATTGCAGCCTTTTTATGGACATTTGAATGGCAAAAAAATCACCTTTTTAATCACGTCATAATTCAAGTACTTTACAATCTAAGAAAGATATTCCAAACAGCAGGGAAGATTAAAGAATTTCATTGTCTTCTTTTTGAAATTAAAAAGAGAAAAAAAACATACAAGTTAAAGGCGCTTTCTCTCCATGGCAACCACAAGAAAAGCTGCCAAACTGGAAGAAGGATGCAGGGGTGGTTAAAAGAGCTGAAATTTACACAGTGTTATGATCTCAAAGAGAATTTTTATAAAATCATTGATACATAATGCCAGAGAAATTATTTAGAATGTAGAAAGGCTACTTCAAATGTATGTTGGAAACGTGATGAAGAAACGTTTTATTCTGCTTGGTGGATGGGTAAAAAAGCTAAAAAGAAATTGGATGCAATACCTACTTTGATACAGATGATTTTAAAGGTCAACATTCAATTGAAGCCAGAAATTTTTCTTTTAAGTTTATTGGATAAATAATTAGAAAAAAGCCATGAAACATTATTTCAGTATATGATCACAGCAGTGAGATTACTGCATGCACAGAGGTGAAAAGATTTGACATTGCCCATTATGGAGGGATAGTTGAAGTTGACAGGTTTTACTGAAATGGATACATTAATTTTTTGATTAGAGGAAAAACATTTTTACATTTATTGCTGACTGGATTTCTCTTATGGATTTTTTGCATAAAAATGAAAAAGAAACATAACTTGTGGCATGGTTTTGATGATTAAACGGGATAGATAATAGAAAGAAGCATAAAATGATGTAAATTTATAAAGAAAGGTCAAAATATATTTGCTTAAAACTGCTATGAAAAATATGAGAAACTGTTTCTATATACTTTTTTCTTTAACTTTTTTCTTACTTCTGTTTGGTTTTTTATTTTGTTCGTTTTATAAAAATGCATAAGATAGTAGTTGGGCAATCAGTACCTATTACATAGAATGCTTCTATTTTTGTTTAAGGACCAAGAAATATTACCCAGTTTGCATTGAAACACCTGGAGATTTTAAGGGGTAAAAATAGATATTTTAATCATTGCAGGAGTTTAGTGTACCTGCTTTGCCCCTTATTATAGCAGAACATTCTGCATATTCCTGTTTAGGGCAATCCTTTCATAGTGGATTCATTTCTCCACTGTGTATGATATAATTTTAGTAAACTCCTGTTGCTAAATAAGAATGATATTATATGTTTTCTTTTTTTTTTTTGCAGGAGACTACAGGTTCTTTAGAAAGTCATCACAAGTAGTACTGGACCCCAAAATATTCGTAGATGATAAAAATATATCATCAGAAAGGTGATAGCAATCTGAATTTGAAAAAAATAAAACAAGCTTATCTATGGATACCAGCTTCCCTCTCCTCATCTCTCCTCACCTTTCCTCAAGTGGGATCTTTGCTTTACCAAGCATAATCTTCTGCTTGGCATTAAACACTTACTTGGCAAGCTTCAGGGTATACACACAAATTATATCTAAGTTAATTTTTCTTTTAATAACAGTGGTTTAAGTGAAACCAGCTTCTCTCTATCTTCAGAAGACAATTTTAACTTGGATGATATCCAGAATTGTGACAAAGTAAGAAATTTATCTTTAAAATATACATAGCTCAGAGTTGAACTGTGGGGTTCTTGGTGCTGATTTGGTTGTTTGCTTGCAGACATTTCATTACTCAACTAGATAACATCAATAAAGTCATCATCAGTGACTGTTACTAGTTGGGTAATAAAACATCTGCAAGCAAACAACCAAGCTCAAAGAGTCCCCAGGGCTCCTCATTAATCTTTATTTTTTTAGTTATATTTAGGCTGCCCACTAAGGTTATTGTTAATTCAGTTTTGCATCAGAATTTCTGTGTGAAATCTTCTTCAATGATATAGTCAATAGCTGTGGGTATTATATCTTCCATAGAAGATTCCCTTTTTTCACTGACTTTTGCTATTACATTTTTGTTCATTTCACATGTATGGATTTTCCTTTTTTGATGTGAAAGAAGTCGTATATGAAATGATTGTGGACTTAGGTCAAAATCTAAATTAGTTTATTCAATAATATTGCACAAAATAAAAAGTGAGATGAACATTGACATTCACAAAGTGGTTGTGTATTGTAAATCACATATATCATAAGAACTGGATTTCTTAAAGCTAGTAGTCTAATTAAACCAAGTAGAACGTGGATTTCCTTTTTAATGCAGGAATTACACGGGCAATATAATAATGCCAGCTTTTTTTACATGTTCCAATGTGAACATAACTGAAGAAATAGTTCTAGCATTGGCTAATAGTTTAGTAGTAGTAGTAGTAGTAGTAGTAATAGAAACTTGAGTTCTACTCCTGCCTTAGCCATGAAAGCCAGCTGGGGGGGGGTCTACAACAACTCACCACAGCCAACTCGCCATGGCCACCTTGCTGTAGCCAACTCACCGTGGCCAACTCACGGCCAGACAACTCGCCACGGAACAAGAGTTATAGTAATATCAAAGAAATAGTCAAAGAAAGATAAGAAAGGATGCCAAAGGAGGTACAAAATAAAATGTGAATGACAAGAATTAAAATATTTTTTTTAAATTCATTAAAATAATTAAATTGAATTGTTAAACTTTCCTGTAGCAACTTGTCCTGTGGTGAGTTGGCCATGGCAAGTCGTCCTGCAGTAAGTTGGCTGTGGCGGGTTGGCTGAGAAGAGTTGTCCTATTCCGCCAGCTGGGTGATCTTGGGTCAGTCACTCTCTCCAGTTCAATTCTCTCTCTTAGCTCACAGGCTCATTATTGTGGGGAAAATAGGAGGAAGATGTGTTGGATATGTTTACCACCTTCAGTTATTTGTAAAAATAATATAAGTGGGATACAAATAAAATAAATAAAAAAGAAGTGTGCTTCTAGATACTAGTTAATACCCACAACTTTTCAGATATCACCTGCATAATCTGAATTACTGCAGGTATTTTCAGTGCTATAGAGATTGAAGCAGCAGAAAACGTTACCTAATAAATAAAGTAAAGGAATGATTGATTGATTGATTGATTGATTGATTGATTGATTGATTGATTCATTCATTCATTCATTCATTCATTCATTCATTCATTCAGAACAAGTTATTTAGATTAGATGGAAAGAAATATTTTGTTTTATATATTTTATCCAATATATATTTAGTGGATTCAATCCAGTAATATAAGAAGGAGTGGCAGAACCTACGGGTAGAGTTAAAAGAGGGATCAGCCTAGAATCTCTAAATCAGGGGTCTTCAAACTTGGCCCTTTTATGACTTGTGGACTTCAACTCCCAGAATTCCTCAGCCAGCATGCCTGGCTGAGGAATTCTGGGAGTTGAAGTCCACAAGTCATAAAAGGGCCAAGTTTGAAGACCTCTGCTCTAAATAGTCACAAGCAGATTAAGTCCAACCTCCCTTGAATTCCATTGACCCCTATCTAACAGCTAGCAGGAATATTCTCAAATATTTGAGAGTCTTCCTGTGCATAGGTCTGAGTAACAATAAATCAGTTTAATTGGACCTTCACATTTGGACCTGATCTTTTGCACCTGAAAAGTAATCGAACTTATTTTGTTGTATTCTCCATAGCAAATGGTGGTGTCTATAAATATATCATAAACTTGTGTCAGTGAGGGACACTTATGAAGCACTTCAGTGTGTATCAGTCACCTGTTCCCATCACATTTAAGCAGGGCTTTTTCTTTGTCATAGAACGCCCAGAACGGAGTTACAGCACCTTTTTTGGATAGAACCTTATAGGATAGGCAAGGCGGGTTGTATGACATGTGTGAGTTCCGAACCCTTTTTTTTTTTTTTTTTTTACAAAAAAAGCACTGCATTTAAGCATGTTTACAGAAAATTGGTGGCATAGCAAACCATACTGTCTGCATAATAAATTGATAATTGAAATTAATTTATGCCCCCCTTTACCATATTTCCATTTTTTCAAAAAATGTTTGGAAACAGATGTGCCATTCCAGAAATTATGATTACTGTTTCTCCTTCATTAGGAGCCAGAGATTTATTTCAAAGACACAGAAGAGTTACTTCAGATGTTCAGATATCTTGAAGAGCAAAATCTTTCATTATTCCAAAACATTCAAGATATTAGTGGCACATTGGAAGAAAGCCAGCAGAGAGAGAAAATAGTTAAGCAGCATATGTAAGTTATTAATTTAATAGGGTTATTTTATATATTTTCAAAGTGTGAACATGCATACAAGCTAGTAGCAATTTATGCTCCAAACAAGCCTATTGAGATCTTGTGATTTTAGCCATGAAAAAAAGCTGAATTCAATAAGCTACTCTTTTTCAGGCCCAGCTGATTAGCTTAATTTTAAGCAGGGTGTGGGTGTGGAATGGTTTCAGCTCTTGAACAGTTAACACAGGGAAAGGGGTTTAATGTTAAAATCGAGAAGCTAATAGATATGACATACCTCAAAAATGTAACATGTTTTGGCTTTAAAATGAACCATTAGAACACTGAATAATCTTAATCATTCTACACTTTGGTTAGAGAATTTTAGGGAGTGAACATACTGTCTTCCCCCCCATCACCTTTTTTTTAATGTCTGTATTACATGGAAGCTATCTTCTACAAAAAGTTTTTCCACTTCAGAAAAAATAATAGGACATACAACATTGCCCAATGAAATCAAGATTATTGCAGCTGGAAATAATATAATTAGGAAATGTAGAGGATATAATTAAGAAATATATTCTTACATGAATAAGTCATATTTTTAAATGAGCCATCACACAAGATCAGTTCTTGTGAAACTGCAAGCAAGTGGCATGTGTTGCTTTAAACCTTGTGATTGTGGCACACCAATATAAAACTAGCTCAAAAAATGTTGCTGCCTAAGGCAAATCACAATGCCATGCATTGAAGTTGGTTGGACTAGCAATTGAATCTTAGTGTTGGTAATCAGACAATGCCTTCTATCCTTCCTAAGGATAGCAGACTATGCAGGGCAGGCTTTATGGCACATGGGAAAAGAATGAC